TGAAACTTTCAAATTACTACAAATCCGTAATTATAAAACTTTTAAATTATTATTATTAATAGGATATTGATTATTAATTGGATTATGATAAAAATATATATACCCAAAGATACATTAATATTACTCGTTAATTACGCGCAACAGATTTTCAAAATGATATAATAGATTGATTTTAAGTTTTAAATAATAATTAGTTACTCTGGTATCAGTTGATATTTTCTAAGAATAGTAATAGGGCAAACCCGGTATATACGTCGCACCTATTAAAAACTTAATTTATCAGATTAACTTAATATTATCGATTAAGTTTAAGTTAAATGAACTGTGCCAGTAAAAACTTTATACTGTTTACTATTATAAATAAATATTAGGAATCCAAATTATTTATTTTTTATATTAAAAAAGAAATTTCTATAAACCCTTGCATTTTTGCCTTATAAAAATAGGGGTGGGTTATACAGCTACTTATAAGTGGGATAAATGACTCGGAAAAGACACAAATAATCTAAATAATCTAAATAATAATAGTGAATAACAAGTGAATTGGCAACGTAATTTGCATTTACTCATTAATAAATAAATAAAGAAAGTATTATTACAGATTATGAATAAGTACATACATAAGTATATACATACATGAATGTTATGATTAATGTATTGTAAAGGGTGTATTATCACGTATTATTATTTACTTTTATATTTATAAATAAATAATAGAGCGTCTGTGCTACGGCATAAATCCCACGTGCTAAAAATGCTGTGTATCCCAAACAAATGAGATATACGAGACAATAAACTAAACAAAGAATACAAAAGCTAAACACTTGTATTTTGCTATACTCTATCCTTTATTAATCCTCTACATTTATATATCACGAAATAACCACGAAGCCTTACATTTCCTACAATAATCATTTTATGTAGATTATAACTTATGATTGCGCTACTTATTACAGCGATAAATCGATTTAACTTACAATAATTTTATAAATATTAACAGTAAAAAATTGAAATCACAACACAATATAACATAAAGACATGTAACAGAGTGGTTTCGAGAAAATTAGTTTCATTTCTTCAGGGGTCGGTCGTATTTAAAATAACATTATTTAAAATATGTATTTTAAATAACAAAAAGTAAAAGAGTTATTTAGTATTTATTATTTTAAATAGCTTCTTCTGATCTATTTTATATTTTATATTTTAAATATGTTTTTGGAATTTATTTTATATTTTTTATTTTAAATAAGTCGTGTTTTTGGAATCTATTTCATATTTGTTATTTTAAATAAGTAACGTTATATCAGTTACTTTACCGACTTCTGCTTATCAGGGATCGATCATATTTAAAAAAACATTATTGAAAATATGTATTTTAAATAAGAAAAAGTAAAAGAATTATTTAGAACTTATTATTCTAAATAATTTCTTCTGATCTATTTCTTATTTAATATTTTAAATATATTTCATATTTTTCATTTTAAATAAGTCGTATCAGTTTTTTATTGACCACTGCGATATTTTATTTTAAATAAGTTTCTGGAACCTATTTTATATTTGTTATTTTAAATAAGTTGTATCAGTTATTTTACCGACCCCTGCATTTCTTCTATTTTTTCTGACTTCTGCGGCGTAAATCCTCGCGCGACGTATATACCGGGTTTACCCTATATTACCCGTAAATTATCCACACAGATATCAGAATCAAAATATCGATTAACTTAATCATATAAAATAAAATTTCTTTTTCTTTCTTGATTGCACGCGTAAATCTTGCACAGCAATGAAGGATTAAATACCCTGTGCTTAAACGCGATGTTGATCGGTCAACTTCGTCGGCCGATTACCGACATATTAATTCGCAATTATTATAATCCTCGACACAGCATCGAGGCTCTCGCGCGCACTCGATGCGTTTCTCTCCCCTAAAGCGTCTCCCTCCCCGTTCTTTCCGCCTCTCGAAACGCCGGGGACGGGGCTCACAATGGAAATGTTAAGCGAGTCGTGGATTCGCAACGCTCGTCACTCTCGTTTGGCATTGGACGAGCGGGGTTCGTGTCTGCGGACGTCAATTTGCGCGACTGGAACGTCGAGGGATGAGGAGAGGGAGGAAGGGAGGGAGGGAGCGGAGGGGTTGATCTCGTCTTCTTTTCCTACCCGCATCCTCCAAATAGAGCCTCTCTCTATCTACCTTGCCTCTGTCTATAGTTGCGCATGATACTCTCTATGCGCGTGTGTGATAGCGGCGGCAGCCGACGACCGTGGTGCGCCTGAAATCAAAACACACCCCAGGGGCTGTCCGTCGATTATTATCGTTTCCACGCACCGCTCGCGATCATGACAATCGCTCGAGCGACTTTTGACGGCACGCCTAATTCGGTACTCAAACCTCGGCCCCCTTCGTCGAATCTTTCGAGTTAAAAGCGATGTACACGGGCGGGCCGCCCTCCCGAGAACGTTTTGACGTGTGTTCACTTCCACGCGACTGTTTCATCTGTCTTACGTAATTTATATTTAATTTTCATTCACTGGTAAGCTTTTGCATATAATTGTACAAGTAAGAGAGACATTTTCGACTCTTAACTTCCAATTAAGACGTATACTTAACAATTTTTATTAATATCTTCTATGTTCCTGATTATTAATTTTTATTCCCATCTAAAGCTTCTCTCATTTAATTTTATATTGATTACTATTGATAATATCAAGAACCGGATTCTAAAATAAGTTCTCGCGAGACAAAATTTTGCTTAAACTAAACTGTTAATTAAAAATATGTACCTAATCTATAGCTTCTTTTTTAAAGTACAAGAAATATGTTATTAAAACTTTTCTACGTTTTAGAAGATTTTAAAAATTATATGATATTTCTGTTTTACTAGTTACAATTCTTTTTCTCAAATTATTAAATAAATCAACCACAAGAAGAAGAGAGATGATCGCGGACGAGATGAGTCGACAAGAAGAAATTACGTAATTTCGCCAGAAGAGCTCTCTCTCCCTGTTAGTTTCTCCTTCGTGATTTTCTGCGGCTGCGGATTCAACCCCCTCGGAAAAATAATCTTTTTCTTCCCATCCCCTTTACGTCTCTTTCTCGCACCCTTTCTCTTTTCTCCGCCGTCCGCTGCGGATGTCAAAATATGACAGCTCTCTCGAGTCACCACTTTCGCGACAAGAGTTACGTCACAGGGGGTTGCCGCGGCCGATCATTAAAGTAAAGGTGCGCTTGTGACTCTTTTGCGACGTAGAGACACTTAAGTCGGTGTCTGGTCAATTTGTTGTCAGTAAAATTAGTATAGAAATATTTTATAAATATTTTATTTCATTTAGCGTTAAAAGCTAATGTTTGTAATGTTAAATAAATTTTCGTATTACGGAAAAGAATAATTTCGAGATTCTTGCTTTTTTAAATCTCGAAAGAATATAAAAAAAGATTGAAAGACCATCCAAAAATTTATGTTTGTTGTATCTCAAGCAAATAAATTATTTATAAAAATATACTTTAAATTGATTATTTATCAGAACTTTTCGAGTCGCGATGCAAAAGTGTTATTTTCCAGTATAAACTCAAATATAAAGGAGGGTTGATAATCACTGGCGTGCTTCGCTAAGCTGACGGAAGCGGTAAATGGTTCGCAACCAACCCCCTCGACGAGACGCTAATTCATATTCATAGATGTAGCGTTTAGCATTACGCCGTTAAATTCCCCGGAGAGTTGGTTAAGAGACAGAGTGGCTAATATTTCTATTCGTATTTCCGCTCGTTGAGAAAGTAACGAGGGTTTCTTCCACTTTTTTTTTCGGTAAATCGATTATTCGAATATGTTAACTTTTTAATAAAAGCAGGAAATTCAAACAAATTCATCAAAACTAGTCAAGTAAAAAATGCCGAAACTCTCTGTCGTTGTTTAATATTTATTAACATTTTGAAAAAAAATTAGTTTCATTATAATGTAATACAATAAATTTCTGTATAGCGCGAAGGATATTTTGTAAATCTATAAGCTTCGCATTATACAAAATGTGTAATTCGAAACTTATGAGTTTACAAAATTTGAAAATATAGACGATTATAAAAAAATCAATTGTTCTTTTTATTATAACAATAAAAATATTTAATTTATTTTAAAACAAAACAAAAAAATTAATATAATTTTTTCGTTATGTATCTTAAAATAAAAAAGCTCTTTGAGACATGTATTCGATTGCGATCTAGAGTTAAAACAGCTTCCAATGAAATCTTTTTAAATGCTAATATACGTTATGCGCAAAATCGTTTATGCAAAATCTTCATTTTGTATACCTATATTCTACAATTACAATATAGATTTATGATGGCGGCGAACTGTGTTATTTTCGTGTGATTAATTTAAATCGAATGTATATCTGAAGTATAATCGAAATAGAATTTTGGCTCAGAAATAAAAAAAAATGAAAAATATATAAATCGGGCATATAAAAAATATACGAAAACATGTAATTTTTAAGACTAAAAATAACAATAATCTGTAACCTGCGCTATTTCGTTACAAGTTAAATCTACGCAAGATTTGTTTACATTTTTATTTTTAATACATTGGAACACTGGTCCTCGATTTTTCAGTTGACAATAAATGCAAATTACGAACTCAGCTTACTAAAAATACATAAAATACGTATATAACACACATTAGTAATTCTATAAATATTAAAACAAAAAAGAAAATAAACTAGCAATAATTCCGGTCTGTTGATTTTTTAATTTCTATTTTAATCTTAAAAATAAATTGGCAATTTTTTAAATTAATTGTATTATATGTTCATCATAATATTTAATAATTTTCTCTAAAATTCTTTAAAACGTTTATATTTCATTTTATAATACAAAAAGATTTTGTTATATGTAATATAAATAAATATAATATCTGATTTAGTGCGTAATTACAAACATAAAGTTTCATCAATAAATACAAACAACATTACATTTTTACAACATTACATTACAACGTTTAATTTTTACATTAGTGTAAAAATTAAACATATTTTTCTTATTTTTATTACTGCAAGGAATGTAGATATACATTATTCACACAGGTCCTCCGGGTTTTGGCTTTACATTCGATTTGCGAAAGTGGTGATAGTTCGGGAGTACTTTCAGCAAAAAATCCAACTGTCCAATTTGAGGCTGAAATACAATAAAGTAGGAAGACCATCATATTTAGGATTATGAAATAACAGAATAAATGTAATAATATAAAAAGTCGCAATATACGTATAATTACATATGGCTTATCGTTCATTTCTCTACGTTGACACTGGTTCCCGTATACTATTGTATTTTCTGGTACCGTTTCTTGCTCCGTCAAAGAGCATGCAGCTCCAATAACGCATCCGTTAGTTAATTCAATTTCTCGACTAATTTGCGCTTTTTTAGGAAAAACAAAATAATATTTATATATAATAAGTCAGTCCTAAACAGATATTATAAAACTAATTGATAATGACATTGTATAATTTTAAAGATCCTTGTTTCTTAGTCCGACATAAAATAAACTCTACTTGTGCGATTTAAATACTACAATCACATTTGCATATGTTGAAAAGTAACTCTGCTACATCTATGTACCTTTTGCTTCTAAGATGTTGTTATCGCCAACTTTATACGATTCGCAAACACAATCAGTCTCGAATACATTATAATTGCCTATTATTTGCACTGGTACTGTTGTAGGTTCCGGAGCATCGGGCGGCAACCTTTGGAATTGTGTGAAATTAGTATCGAGTATGCCACTGCATACAAAAAAGTATTACAAACGATGCAAGTATATCAAGCTTGCCTGTTAGCTATAGTTGCCATTTCTTCAATTATATTGCCTTCCCCTATGATGATTGGACCAGCCTCTGCGAGAATACACGCTCTAGGATGGATTATAGATTTCGCGCCAATGGAAATATCCCCTTTTAGAATACTCTCCTCGCACACTACTGCACCAGGCGCAATTTTTAAGCTACACAAATAGAATGTCACAAATATAAGATAAGATTCCGAAAGATATTGTGAAATCCAAAGATATAATAGTGTTCTTTATTCACTCTCTTATTAACTTTTATTATAACTTAAGGCATTCAGATGTACTTATATGTTAAAAGAAATGTTGAATTTCATTCTATAAACATTGTTTATAACTATATATGTGTTTTTATACATTATATTCTTGTAAATATGTGCAATCAGGTTAGAGAATGACCTAACCTCAAAATACAAGAAATGTGGCATTATAATATGGAGCAACCTTTATTAGGTATTAAAATTATGAAGAGAAGATTGTGTAATGTTATTATTATATATTATTATACTTACTTGGCGCGGCGATAAGTCGAAGAATTGTTAGAACTCATTTTTCCGTCCATTTAATCGATGACAATTCTCTGTTGCAGTGGAAGTACACAACTACAAGTAGCACGTCGATTTATCGAAGAGTTCGCCATTTTCTCTCGATAGTATCGTGCAAGAAGATTTAAAATTTCCTTTAAAGATACGCTGCTGAAAGAGATGTGTTATTTAAAGAATTCTTGAATAGAATTGTTTGCAACAAAATCGAATGTTGAATTAAATTCAATAAAAATAAAACACGAGAATAATATTAAAATAATTGACAATATCTTTACGTTTTGTTTAGAATAGTGCTGCTCAAAATATTTAGTTCTAGTCTGCGTTGGCCTTCCTTTTTCTTAAAGGAGATAAAGGAAAGAAAAATGTAAGATAATCGTGAATACCGATACAAAACAATTCTTAAAATTACAAATCTTGGATAGCATTGGTTTAGAAAATAAAAATTTGCTTTTAATATAAGTTAACTAAATTTATACTTGAATTATTATTGTTATATTTAAATTTATATTTAAATTGTTATAAAGTAGTATTGTTACCAAAAAATTGAACGATAATTATTATAAATTGTACTTTTAAGTTATTATTAGAATAAAATTATAAATGTTTATATACATATGTATATCGATATTGGTTAGAACTACCAAGACAAAATAAAAATATATAACTTCTCATATAATTTTTTTTTATTACATTGAACAAGGAAGATTTAAATATCGCTAGTTTCTCTTTAAATTATTTTTAATTAAAGGTAATAAATAAATTTTCAAAAATCAATATATTATATATTCTAGAATATTTCTTAAATATTAGACATAAAGAAAAGCAGTTATTGAATTATATAATAAAATTAATGTCTAAAACCTGTCTATTTATTAATGTAACATAGAGAACAAAGGAAGTACTTGAGCAATATCATTAGCCTATTATAAATAGCTTTAAATTAGAAATAAATTTGTCAAATATTTATGAGATTAAATATATGATTTTAATACGTTAACTTCACTTCTTTTGTTAAAATCTTGATTTATATTTATTAAGATGTACATAAGTAAAATAGTTTAATGTTATAATATAATAAAAATTAAAGGATCCCTACATTGAGAATGTTATAATGTGCAAATATCATCTGTATTCCGTTTAAACTACTTCAGGGATACGAGAGAAAAGGGGAATCTCGCGATTGTGATTTGCGCAACAAAAGGGATAATGTATTCACACATGAGAAACACATGAATACCTTCGTTTAGATATTTAACATAACTCTATATTATCCGTCAACTTTTATATATATATTTATTATATATATTTTTTATATATTATATATTATAAAATTTAACTCCAAATTGCGATAATAACGTCTAATTGCAACGTGCGTGCGCGTGTACGTGTTGCGCCTTATTGTACGCGTGTGTGTGTGTGTGTACATTATGTGATTGTATTCTGTGTGTGTTTGTATTATGTGGTTGTGTTCTGTGTGTGTGTATATATATGTGTACGCTTCTATGGGTGTGTACGCGTGTATACGTGTTGCTTTCGAGTAAAGGGGATAGAGATGTGAGCGAAGAAGGGTCGTAGATGGTATGCATCTTGCACTCGCGCGTAACGTGACTGTGTACGTGTTTGATCTACAATTAAACGAATCCTACGCACTTACTCGTTAATCGGCAGAATAATATGCATTTCTCTTATTTTTTTTTTTTCGCTATAAGTATATGCAACCGTCCGAAAGCGTGTCAGTCGGCGCACCGTGACGGATTCGCCGTCGCTCTCGTCGATCCTCTCTCTCGATTGCGATTCAATTCTCTCGGATGCATATCAAGACTTTTTGCCTGCACACACTGTTACGTAAACAAGCACACTCTAATCTTGTTTTTTCTTTAATAAAAGAATAATTTGCCTTTTATACTAATTTCGACAATGATATCGAGATTGATTCGTTAGGAACATTTATGATTAATTTTGTGATGCTTGACACACGAAGTCGTATAAGTCAAACTATTCTGTTCTCTTTAGAAGAAACAAAAAATAAGATTTAAATGAATATGTTATTGTGATTTAAAAATGTAAGATTTGATAAAAGAATGAATTCAAATCTCGTTTTTCAAAAGAAATATTAATAATTTTAATTTATTACATGTCTAAAAAAAAGATATAAAGTAACTAAAGCTGCCTTTTTTGCGATGTCTAGCTTTAACTTCAATGAAAAATTTAGGAAATTTACTATTTTTTCGTACTATTTTATATCAATGTTATTAATATAATTTCACTTAGCAATTATGGATGAAAAAAATATAAAAATACAATTATACAAAATACATTTATGGACTGTAAACAAGAAATTATATATAATAAAATTGATCTAGTATATGCATCCGAAAGTTATGTCTCACTCATCTATGTCGATCTTATCGTACAATTAAGATTGCGCAATTCTGATTTTATCTTACTTTAAAACTATTTTAAGATAACGTTTTGTTTTTGTAACAAATAAATATTCTTAAAAAATATTAAAGAATAATTATGCTCACTCTGTTAAAATTATGCTTGTCTCAGTTAAAAGTTTTACGATAATTTCAACTCTTAAGTCTGATAATTATCAGTATATCAGTCGATTGAAAGCTAAAATAACTTGTGTGCTTATTCTTTGCTGCCTTGGCAATGACTTTCATATTTAATAATTTTTTAGACGATCAATTTGAAAATGCAAGAAGCAAACGTATAATAGAAATTCCAAGATCAAAATGTACAAAAAGCTTAATTATTCAAGAACTGATTTCAAGGATTGATTTGATGATTGATGTCTGATCTAAAAATCCAGACTAAAAAAAAAGAACATTAAAAATTCTAAAATCTGAAAAATTTTAGATATATGTATGTTTCGAGTATCAAAAAGCTATATCTTAAAATTAGTTTTTAAAATTAGATTTTTAGAATTAGTACTCTCGAATTTTTATAACGTTTTTAACAGATATAAATGAAGTATCGACGTTCTATTGAATTAACATATCATATTGATGAGCAATTCTAACATATTGTCATATTAAATGTTACCATGCAAATGCTTGTATTTGAAATTTGCTTTAATATTAACAATTAATAGTAATAATCCATATAACAATTATGAAGTCATTGCATATAAATTGTAAGTTGTTATTTAACTGATTGAATAGTTGTCCCAACGCGAGGAATTAATACTCTTGTTATCCAATATCGAAAAGATAAAAATATATAAATACGCAATAAAAATCGAATTCTATATATATATGTACATGTAAGGCGAACATAACACATTCTTAACACTTTCGCGACCTCTGATTTTTAACTAAATTAATATAACTCTAATATCGATACATTTAACTCATTAAAAGTCACGATTATTATGTTATATTATACTTTCTTGTGTAATGTTACGATATTAAATATAAACATAAAAGTTAAATGTTCACATTAGAAATAATTGTAATTTCTAACTGAAGTATTATGCTTTTTAGCATTATATGCCTTATTATGCTTTTTAGCATTTTATGGCTTATTATGCTTTTTAACATTATTTCATCGTATTTTTACGAACTTTCAAAAAAAGGATACGATAATGAGTTAAATATATAATATTTCTGTTGGAGACCCTAAACAGTATAAATTATTTTACTTACGTAATATAAAAGGGCCGACATACAATACAAAGGGGATGTTGCATAAATAAGTAATAAATATTATTACATATGTATAAAAATGAAAAATGTCCGAAATCTACGTGTGGAAATTAGATTTTATTCATTTATATTAAACTTTATAAATACAAACAGATAATAATAATAATAATAATAATAATAATAATAATAATAATAATAATAATAATAATAATAGAGCGTTATAAAATTTCTATAACGTCTGGTAATTAAAAACGGTCTGTCAGACCCCGCTTATACCGTTTAGGGTTTACATAAGTAGCTGCAATATTTATACTTCATCTTAAAGAAATTCATTACAGAATGAGACAAATAAGTATTCGCACGTCATCGCTATAAGTAACTTTCAAAGAAAAATGCTGCAATTACACATTTACACATTTTACATTATTCTCTAAATCGATATTATCATCCACACACGTCTTCTTACTACGGGATTTAATATCGCGTTACATATACAACGAGAGTTAAAGATATTTATATAATAAAAGTACAATGTGACGCGTACAAATACTTTTATTATTTCAGCCAGCTCCTTAACGGTGTAACGTTATTTATAGCAAAAAAAAAAATGTACGATGGCGTACGAATACCTCTTTTTATTCCAGCCTGCCACTTAGCAACATAATTTTATACTTAGCAACAACGCGAAGGCTTTTACGAATACTTTTCTTTAGTCGGTCCGGCACCAAAACGACGTTTAAATTCTCCCGTTTAAAAAGTATGCGGGCGGTCGCGAAAGTGTGTCGGCGAGCAACGGCGAGCCGTTCGATTAAAAAATCCATATCTCGATCTTCATCTTGATCTTCGATCAACGATCGACGACAGCGAGGAAAAGCCGGTGACGGTGCGTATTTATATGTAAACGCCTCGTGAGGGTGTCTCAGCGCGCGACAACGGGCTATTGTGTCATTTTTTTTCTCTTTTTTCTCTCCTTTTCTTTATCCATAAGAAGTACGGGTTTTTTTTTTACGTATAAAGAGACGCGTCATACAAGTGCCGTATAGTACCAAAAATGTTTTTAATGCGCGCGCATAATGCGGTCGGTTAGCACTATCTACGCCTGCATCCGTGAAAGTCGCATCCGCGCATATCGATTCGTATAACGTTTTTCTCTCTCGTTCTCACTTTCATTCTCTCTCTCTCTCTCTCTCTCTCTCTCTCTCTCTTTCATTCTCTTTTTTTATCTCTCTGTCTGTATCTGCGTGTACATGTATATAAGTATGTTATGCATGTATATGTATGAATTCGTGAGCGTGTTACGTGTCACCGTTATCCGTGAGATCCGGCCGGGTTGGTCCGAGAATGAAATCACTCTTTCACATAATTCACGTCACATCATTCTCGCCGATCGCTGCGAGGACCGTCGAATCTCGGTAGTTCCGCCGAAATATACTCTCATATATATATATAATGTTTATATATAATTATTTATTTATATATTTATATATTTATTTATTTATTTATTTATGTATTTATGCTATAAAGTAGCTCAGAACTATACTCGAATCACTACTCGAACTCGCGGCGGCGACAGAACGGCGTGACCGCAGCCGATGTTTTGCGTTAATTTAAAGTCTGCAAGTTGCACGGCAGAAGGACGTTACGTTTATTCGCCGAATATTCTTGCTAAAGTCGAAAGAAATTTCGTCTATCGAATGTAATACGGCGTTAATCATGTGATAATGTGAGTGAAAAGGGTCACTTATACTGTCATATCGTTAAATAGAAGATGCTGTAACACGTACTTGCTACATGTGTCCTCGATCACACAATCAACATTCGTATGTGTTTGAATATTTAGCGAACAAATCGGTCCTTTACAGGCTGCGCGAGATGGAGAAAAGAAGCCCCAATTGTTTCATAATTCGTACAATTCATTATTCAATAACAACAATCAATATAGATTATTCCCTTATCAGCTCCACAAATTCCATGGAAACAAACCCTTGTTTCGATTTCCAATTTCTACCTCGCGCGAAAAAACTTTAATCTTTCGTTTTATCTGTCCTTCAGTTTCTCTCATTCCTATACTTTTAACAATCGAACTTCTTAATTTCCTAGCGTTTGTTTACCTCCTCCCCCCCTTCCCTCTACCTCATCATCACATAGCTTTATCACTAATAATTACGTCATTAACGATCGGTGTACAGGGGTGAGGTAATTAACAGGGGCAAGATAAAGATAGAATGGAAAAAAGATGATGAACGGGTGAATAGGTTCGCGGAAAAAACTCTAATGGGGGATAGAGGGGCATCCCTCTCCCCCTCTCCTCCTCCCGTTTTCATTTTATCGCGCTTAATTACACCTAACTCCGGTGCGGTTTCACGGTTCCTCGTCCTCTGCAGTTAAGCACCTACCCTTCCCGTGTCGTCCGTCGATGCTGTTCGCTGGGTTCGCGCGTCCCCGCGTCGTCGGCGCGAATTAATATCGGTCTCTCTCTATGTCGCACGTGAGCGGCCCAACCGAGATTCCACCTCCCGTGAAAACGTCAGTCCTCGATTTTATATATTAGTAATAATATTCGCGTCGTCGTCCTCGGACCGTCCCGGCGGGACTCGGTTAATCACCGTTCTCCTCTCTTCCCCCTCTCTCCGTCCTCCACTATTTTTCTTTTTCTTAGTTAATACAATATATACTTTATGTATGTATCGTAACAACCGATATCTCTCTCTCTCTCTCTCTCTCAGCGCACTCACACATTCGCGCTCTCTCGTCGTTTTTTCTCGCTCTCTCTCTCTCTCTCTCTTTCACACACACACACAATACACACACACACACACACGCACGTACATACACGCAAGCACACGACATTCTCACTCGCCTCACGCTCGCTCCCTTCGCACGCGCGCGTTCGCGATTTTTTTTTCTCTCGGTCTATATAATATAATCTTATAACGACACGCGTATGTGTGTACACGCTTCTGCTTTTTCTCCGAGACGTGTATCGTGCGCGCGCGTGTATACACATACGCATCCACACTATATATATATATATATGTATATATTTATACTTTATATTTATATATATATATTTCTTCTGTATATATACTTTATGTTGCTTTTTTATGTATATTTTATATATAACAATGTTTTTTTTTATGTTTATTTAAGGCCCAATACGTTCATTACGAAGGAAATAATCTGCAACAGAAAGGAGACGAATATACGGTTAAATAACGCTTGTACCTGGTTTGCTCCCTGTCGTAAGCACCGTATGAATATAGAACTATTCAGTCGATTGTGCATAATGTTTTCCTGACGTCGTCATCGTCGTCATCGTCATTACCGTCGTTGTCGTCGTCGTCGTAGTCGTCGTCGTAGTCGTCGTCGCCGTCGTGAAGAATGCGTGTGAGATGATCGCGCGGTTCGCCGAACGCCAGTAGATGATCTACGCGTGATCGGACAAAGTGCTAACTTAAGTCAGCTTTATAATTTAAGCTTTCCTATCACATTTTCTTTGAAGAAGAAAAAAAATCGAGAGAATAACAACGAATAGCTCCGAATAGTTTACAATCTATTCCACTAATATGTACGTATATATATTCAATTTTTCAACACATAGGTATTATAATATGAACGAAAAAAATGTACGATGAAGTGCGTATCGCTCGATTCCATCATATGATGGATCATAATAGAAAACAAGTAGAACAAAATTAAAATTGAGATTGCGGCAGATGCTATTTATTTCACTAACTACTTACTTTATCGCATATTAACGAACTATACTTATTATTTATTATGCACCTCCTTCAGCCGTGAAAGATATAATAATATCATATTTAATGCCAAAACTTAAGATTTATTATAAACGTTCGTATAAACGCGATATTTTTCTTTTGACGACAACAAAGAGATCCGCATATATTTGTTTTACTTTTAATTCGCCTAAAATCTACCTAGCTCGCGAAAGAAATACATACGTCCTAAAATTTATTACGTTACACCTCGGAAAAAACTATCTCTCGCACAATATATCTTGCAATTTTTCTCATTTCAATAAACGAGAAGTTGTCCAACTTGAAAATTAGGTTACAGTTCTCCTATTCGTAATAAATCCTCAAAGTGTCTGTCAACGATTAGCGAGGCCATGTACCAGCGTTCCCGTCTCGATGTGCGTTTTCTTCTTCGCGTGATTCTTCGCGCATTACTTTTCCTACTTTCCTAGATATACCTTAAGCGTGCTTAGCTCGACGTTTCCTAGGAAGAATCATCCGAGTGAGGATATAGGCATACCAATCTCGGTTGTCGTTTAAGAGAGGCATTATTCGATACTTTTTTTTATCTAAGACAGTCCATCGTGACATTTCAAAGCCTACCGGACATTTGATTTAATTAAAGCTAATTTGCACGATAATATCATTTTCTATTAGCATAACGTACAAAGTAATTTACCATAATTTCGTTATGTGAGCGAAAAATACAGAACATCCCAAAGAGGTATCGCAATCGCAAGGATTGTTGGAAAAATCATAAACAAGAATTGCTCTAAATTAAGTTTTTCTTATGATAAACTATGTAAATTAAATACAAATTTGGCTATACTTTTCCATCGATTTGTAAATTCTGTAAAAATTAATTTTAATAAAAAGAAAAGAATAAACTCTTGAACTATTAATTATAAATTAAGTGCGCCGTGATTAAGTTTTGCAGATAAATCGCAAGAAATTTGAATGAAAATAATCTTATCATCGATATATACCTCTTTGGGACATCCTGTAGCTTAAAATCACCGATAATAAAATGTCCACTCTCATCGATATTAAAACAAACTTATCCTGCGTACTTCTTATAGTTGCGCACCCTTACAAATTATCCACTACGATTTTTCGGATTCGAAACGTGTTAATTGTACTTCGGCATTACGAACGAGAAACATCTTAAAGTATATATAAACGCAGACAAAGTTCAACGTAGCGCAATTAAAATTGAGACGAAATCTAACGTTTAACGAATAAGTTAGTGCGTTATTTACGATTAATAAAATGCTATCCGGTAGGCTGATCGGTTGAAATTCAAGCCACCTGATTTAGAGCAACGACGGATGAAAGGGATCGTGGATGAATGAATCAGATTGAAAATTCGCATTTCCAAGAAAGTATCAAATAAAAAATTACATTTCCTTAGCGTTCAGAAGATATGGATATTAATGGAATAGATTGATATAATATAAAATTAATAAAAGTTAATTGATTTTGTAAACGATTCGTTTATTAAAATCTGATTCAACTTTAGTTCACATTCATCCATCGTTACCACTTTAATTTCTCGTTCAGGACGTCCAGGCAATATCGTTTAATATCTAACATTTGTAAAAGTTTTTTAATTTAACATTTTTAATTCAAAGAAAATTCTTGTCTATCTATCGTAAACACTACTGCGAAAGTTCAACTAGCTGATAAGTCATATTTTTATCACTTTTTGAAGAATCGAAGACTCGAGGACGTTTCAGAAGGAGAAACAGGATCTACTTTCGAATCAAATTGTTGGTAACCGTCTAAGCATATTTACAAATTATTATCTTCTAATTTATCAGTTTGAACCCTTTTAACGGCAGTATTGAGTTCATATCGTTTACGGTTTTCAGCTCATCACGTCGTAACAATTAAATTATTTAAAAAATTAATAATAAATTAATTATAATTATTTGTATTACATAAAATAATATTTATGAATTTTGTGAACAAACTTCATACTTTTTTTTCATAAAACACAAGTAATGGTTGATTTTTAACCGAAAACCTTTAATAACTTTTTTAATATAATAAAATATTAAATAAATAGATTTACCGGTTAAAGGGTTAAACCTTCCATATTACGTATTGTTTATCATGTATGTCATATACATTCCGAGTTAAAATATTGTAAAAAATTCATACACGCGGACAATCGGGAGTTTGCCGTTCATGTTTGTTATTTTCTTAAAGATTATTCATTTTCTTTTCCATGAAATTTAAGCAAATAAGAAAGATATTATATATACAATATAAGATATTATATATACAATATAGCGATGTAAAGCTCCCGAATGTTCAATACATTTAGTACTCGGACAAGCGATTTTGTAAAAAAAAAAAACGATGTCAGGCAGCTATTTATGCTTGCAACGAGAAAGTATACTTAGTTATATACTAATTGAAATTTAACCTTCTTGTTTGGATGCACGATAATGTATTAAGAATAAATATTTTGCATTTTAATTTGATAAAAAAATTAAAAATGTCAACTCATATAAAAAAACCAAGCCGATACATTTCTACGTCTCATTTGTAATATTAATAAATTAAAATGACGATTTAAAAACCATATTATTATTCTGTGGTGTAAAATGATATATTTTTATTTATTTTATATCTCTCAAGAATTCTGCAACAATTTTATATAATAATTAAATAAATATAACATAAAATAAATATAGAAAATTCAAACTGATCCGAAGATTCGCGAAGCTAACATAATGCAAACGACTACCATGATTCGCGCATTCTCTTCGTTGAAATATATGATTTTATTTTCGTATTAACATTCATATAACATGATGACTCTTATTTGTCTTCGTCATACCGATTATATTATTAAGAATTTTTTTTCAAATACAAGCCCGCTTGTATTTTAATTTCACTCAAACTTAATTTTGATAAAATAAAAAATGTATATTATATATTTTTCGATATCACAAAAACTATAAAATTATTTGTAATAATGAAATTCATGCGATATCACTGGTTATTAAAAATGACTAACAATTAAAATATCAAAAGGGTTTATTCGTAAATATTTATTTGGATTTTAGAACACTTTTAGCTTCTTGTATTTAAAAAATCTTATATAATTAAAGTAATTTATAACTATCAATATATAAATTTTGTACTTCTAATTATTAGTTTTAAAATTATAAAAATTTTTATTTTGTGCGCTAAATTTATCACTTTTGTGCATTTTATAAAATAAACAATGCCAAACGATTTTTAATTAGCTTTAAAAATGGTTATCCTACTTAACCATTCTAAAAATAGTTTGCATTTATTTTGTATATTGATATTTAAACGCGATTTATTTACTTACTTTATTTACTTTAATATAAGAATCGCATTTAATCATGATCATGAGCTGAGAACTGTAAAACCACATTTAGTGCTAAGATGTTTAGTATAAGATGTGATTAGACTCTAGCCTAAATCGCAGAGAATCTAGAGATAAGCTATTCTGACATCGCTCCTCGCCTCTCCGAGTACCAGTCCTTAATAAAGCGTCTTAAAAGTAGTCTCGTCTTAAACGCACGAATCTCCAACCCGAAGATTCGCAAAGCTAACGTAATGTAAACGACTGCCATGATTCGCGTTGCCTCTGCCCCGTTGTGCTCGATACAGGCAACAACATCTTTCCGCGTCTCGATTTGTGTTGACGACACTGTCGTGTTACCTCGTCTCTCGTCATCGAGATCGTTCTCATCCGAGCCGGCTCGCGGATTCTTCCTAGGAAGCGTTGCCACTTCCGGTCCCCCGGGCCACGAGATCGTCGGGTTATCTCTCTCACTCTCACTCTCTCTCTCTCTCTCTCTCTCTCTCTTTCTTCCGGGACGGTCGGACTCACCTTGACCGAGCAAGGTCCGGGGACGCTACTCGCGCTCCTGTTTGCTCGGCAGCGCCGGGACGACGTTCCGCGCCGCGTCGCTCGTTCAGCTATCGACGCTGAAGAGCTCCTTGTGGAGGGCCGGGAACTCGAGGTGCGGCTGCGACCGCTTGAACTTCGCCAGCGCGTCCATGTGCAGCAGCGAGATCTCCCGTAGCTGCGGTATCTTCGCGAGAATCGCGTCGCACACGGTCACATCGCCCTTGATCGGCGTCACGTGGTTCCGATCCAGTTCCGACCTCAACGCTCTGATCACCGCCTGCGACAGCCTATTGATGTCTCCCAGGCACTTCAGTCCCGGTCGATCTGCGCAAGGTATCGTAAGTCAGTCAACTACGGCGCTGCTTCAGTGATAGCGAGTTTATAAGATACGAGATTTCTTTTCTGTTAATTTCTTCTAGCCCATAGAATTCAAGATCTTTACAGACCTTTCATCGGGAAAATTTTTGCTAAAAGTTAGATGTTTCTATAAATTATCTCGAAGAAAACACATTTCCTTTTATTCTTAATATAGCGAATAATACTGATAAAATAAAGCATCCCAGCAAACATAGATTATAGCAATGTTGCAGCAACATGGTAACATTCCAGCTATATTGCAGAAATGTTACAATGTTGCTGCAATATTACAGTTTTAATCTGTGTTTGCTGGGATGTAACAGAGAATATGTATATGTTTGATAATACACACCGTACTTACTGAGGCGAACTTAAGCGCGAGCATTGGAACATCGAAATTTTTTACGTATGACGACAATGATATGTACGCAGTACGGTTTTTTTTCTTTCATTATTAGCTTCAGGAAATTTTAGCAGACCTGTGAGACACCCGGTATGTTCGTGCCACTCACCAGGGCTAAGTAGAACAGCCGCGCTATAGAGCGCCAACTCGGTTTCGGTGAGCTTCAGTTCGGCGATGCTTCTGGCCAGCTCGAACACGCAGGAAACAAGCTTCATTTCCGCCGTATCCGTCGTATAAAACGCCTCTTGCGGTAGCAAGGTGTCGCCGTATAGAACGCAGTTTTGCTGGAGATCGAGGTACCTGCTCATTCGTAGCACAGCCAACTCGAAGGAACCTATTACATTTTAGCAGGATATTAGCATAGATATTTCAACCGTATACTTTCTCATTTTTACTTATCTTAAATCCTTTAGAAAAATTGACGGATATTGTCTACATTATTCTAACGTAACGAGAAATTATTACATATCTAACGGTTACTATATCAATTAATTTATCAAACGCTTAGAAAAAACTGCTAAATGTTCCAAAAAATTTTTACCATACTTCCAACAATAACAAATTATTAATTATAAGAAAGAGTATAAAATCATTAGATTGACTGCGTTGGAGTACCTACGTATTATGTAATTACTTACCTGTTCCACTTATAAGAATTAAAAATAGAATAATTAATCTTCAGATTAAATTCTCTAAAATTTGCGGTCAAGTCACGCGCGAGAGAGCACGCAAGAGAGCAATGCACAGTTTTCATCGTTGGTAAAACATGCAGCTTGTGTGCACCGATGTAGTTACGTACCGGCCTTTAATAAAACAATCTGGTCGTCCTGCGAGAGCTTCATGAATCCAGGGACCATTTTGGCGAACTCGATGATCTGCTGGATGACGGTGGTCAACTTTTGGGCGCACTCCAACCAGAGCTGCTCATGCGCCATGTTCTTGTAGTAGATCATTCGGGAGATGTCGGTGGGCTTCCGGAAGGACTCCTGGATCTGTTCCGTCGACACCAGGCACGTCCTTGCGTGTGCGTCCGCTATCGTTTTCGAGAGAAGCTCACTGATCTGTGCCGGATCTGCGAAAGTCCGGCAGATGTTTCGCTCGTAATAGGTTCCTTTCGTGATAGACATATTTAAAATAATAATATAAAGATAGAAGAATTTATTCAGCGAATCGAAAGAGATCCTAAACGGATTTTAAGCATAGCAAACGTACAATTGCACACTAATTCCTCGTTGCAAATAATTCGTCATATCATAAAATGCTTTATTGAAGAATTATATTCTAACATTTATCATAATTATTTGTTATAAGAAAATATTTGATACATAGATCCTAAATGGGGAAGTAATAAAAAAATTTGAACAAAATGATTTATTGGATGACATGTTGCGTTGCAAAGAGAAAGATAGTTCATGCAGGAAGAGTGTTTGTACAATTGAATTCGTGCATATACTTGCTTACATGTATATGATTAGTATTAGCTAATTGAAATTGAGTTGATTAAAATTAAAGATAGTATAAGTATCTATACAAAAATATATAAAATAAAAACTTACATATATTTAACGCGAAAAAATATATTTTGTTTTTCAAAAAGAATATTTACTTGTATATATTTAATACATACATACAATAAACTCTCAAAAACATTTAAAACAAGTAGTCGCAAAAAGACAAATATAAAAAGGATTGAATAAACTATATTTTGTACAATCGTGCTAAATAGTTAAATTATGTTAAATTATTAAAAGCAGAAACGTGTAGAAAATATAGAAAGAAAATAAGTTTACAAAGTTTGTAAATTATTATTTATGTATAACAACATCACATATTGAGAAAATTAAAAATAGATTAATATAAATACTAGATTCTACAATTTCTTTGGGAATGCAACCGTAAGATAGGTAAAGCGTGAAGAAATGTAATATTTTATATTAATAAATATTACATAAGTAAAATAAACATTCAAAATAACATGCGTAACGCATACACTCAACTTTCAAGAGATGAAGTTTTAGAGGACCAACATTTTACTGTGTAATTAAATATACTAAAACGTTTATAATAATTTTATCGCGTCAGCAAGTAGATAGCGTCGTACCTTGTAACATAAAAGAGCAAGTAATTTCCATTTTTGAATAACTCTTTATGAATTTTTCATGAGGCTGGACTAGTTTCCACGTTGATTAATGAATTTCGTTGGCAAATCGCCTTTCTTCAAGATTCCATATTATAACATAATAGTTTTACATCACCATTATCTTAAATTATTTCAAGATATTACAGTGTAATATTTTTGATCATTACAGTTCATTTATCTTAGAAGAACAAAAATATATATATGTTAATTCATGTGTAAGTTTAGTATTAAAATTTTATAAATCGCAAATTAATGAAATTTTACAAAAAGCTAAATTGATATAATATGTCAGTATATATACTTTTTTAGCAAAATTTTCAAAGTTTTTCTAATTGTGCTATTAAAATGTACAGTAAATTATGTCTTCTCAAGATATAAATAACTTTAGCAATTTTTCGTACAGCATTTTTATCTAGTTAATGCTTATACTATATGTGTAACGTACAGGATTGGGAAAGTTACTTTATAAAGTAGTTACAGAGAGTTATAGTTTTTTTTCATTTAAAAAATAACGAGTTACTTTTCAGTTAATTTTTTATAACGTTTTCATGTATTGTTATTTTAAATGCAAAAAATTTACATTTTTATAACACTACTAAATTATTTTAATCTAATCTAATTTGAGAAATGCCCATAAAGAGCTAATCTAATCTAATTTGAGAAATGCCCATAAAGAGAGATACCAGATGATACATGTAAATTATATATTATTACAAACAAAAACAAAAATAAAAATGTTAATACAGTAAGTAGACGTTTCGACTCTTGTTTTGGGTCCTCTTCGGTATAAAATTAATAGATTAAAATAATATTTTTCAAAAATTTCAAAAAATTGTGGGGAGTCAAAAAGAAGTAATGCTTCAGTAAACTCGTCATCGAAAGTAAAACAAAGCGTTAACCAAAGATTAAATAGTCAATCGTTATTTTTAAGCATTCAATAGGATACTTTAAATATACGGAAGTCAAGAATTAAATTAAATTGAAACATTAAAATTTTCACTAATAAAAGAGTTTTGGTTGAACCTTATGTACAAAAATATTGATGAAAATGACTTACAGTAAGCTATGCGAAATATTTTCACAGAAATGTTACGCATAAGAGACGATGTACTGTTCGAGATTAGGAGAATTTATGAGAGGAATAATGAGAGTCATAAGCGATAACTTATTCCTAATAGATACTAATAAATAAATAAATAAATGAATATGAAATCAAGATTTTCAAAAAAGGTCAATGTATAGCGGATCTAAATAAATTCGTTCTATAAATTAAGACCCCGCTTTTGTTTGTAAATATGGATCATTTCAGAAATATATCGTTTATTTAAAAATCTTTTTTCGTCCAAAATAATGTGATATTGTTACAATCAAAGTCGTGATCACATTTTTCTCTGCGTTCAATGATAACCGAATGCTGCTTGGTATTTCTGCAAATATGATTTTTACGTTCTTTGATTTTAATAATCTACCAGTCTGATTCATATATCTGCATCACAATCTCTGCAATTTATCTTATAAACAACATCTAAATGTAAAAAAATGGATAGTAAGGACTTAAAATAAAAATTTGTTTAACATATTAATTCAGTTAATCATTTATAATAAATTAATGTACACAATTGAAATCAAAATTATGAGATCAATATTAAAACGCGTTTATACATTAAAAGATTCCCGACAATAAATTTTAATACACACTGTTAAATCTGTAGTGTCAAGTTTACCTTATTTTAGTCGCCACTACTCCAACTTAATAAATAGTTATTTTTAACTAAAACAATGGAGTTAAATAATTCAAAACAGTTCAAATTTAACTCAAATTTGTGTTCAATTTCATCGTTTTAAAAAATAACTAATTATTTTAGTTAATAATAACTATACATTAAGTAGGAGCAGTGACGACTTAAATAGGGTTAAATTTGACAATATATAGATTTAACAGTGCAGATATTTGCAAAGTGTGATAGTTATCAGGGATAAAGATAGATTCCAATCACAAGAAATAATTACTTACTGATTGTTCAATGAGCATTTTGCTCTGCAACGTAGACCGTACGTTAATAAATAGGTTTAAAATATATAAAGTAACTATAGAAGTAGTTAAACTAGTTACCAAAAATATATAACTAACTAAAGTTACTTATAGTTACAGATGTGGCAAGAAAAGAACAAAGTTAAGTTATAATTATCGAAAAAAGTAACTGTAACTTCGTCACAAGTAACGAGTTACTTCCCAACTTTGTATATGTGTGTGTTTGTGTATAGTGCAGCTTAAAAGTTTCAATAAATGCTGTTTTTTTGCAAAAAAAGTGAACTAAATCGCTTGTTAAATGCATATATCTATTGGGTATTAGTCCTTTTTATATTTACTAAAATATATTGGCTCAAATATAAAAACTGCCAACATCCAAAAAATATATGCATTTGGCAAGCAATTTAGTTCACTTCTTTTTTGCAAAAAAAATAAAAAGAGCATTTATTGAAACTTTTAAGCGGTATGTGTAAAACATTTCTTGTCAGAAATGGAAGCAAGAGCTTAGAGAGATTAAAATAAATTCTAACAAATCTACGTAGAGAAACATTTATGCGTACATTGAAGAAGAACTTCACAGCAACGTATTAGATTACGTATATCACTGGTTATCATGAAAGATATTATAATAAAATAGAAATTATGCTCGTTGTCATTGGCCTTTTTTCATGTTATTTGTTCTATAATAAATCTTCTCAATTAAATTTGGCCGCGATATATTTTCCCAGAAAATTTTGTTAATCCTCCGGAACTTTCCTGCGGGAAGGGGGATCGAGCGAGTGCGCTTGGGGATGAGGGCGCATGCAAAGGCACACAAACGTAACCTCACATCTCATCGCATGGGACATACTGGGCAGACTCGGCACTTCGTCATCCTCAGACGGGTTGCTGACCCTCTGCTGCTGTCCGCTTAGGAAGGTCGTCGAGTCGACCATCGTGTACGAGCCATGGCCCAGGCCGGCGAGCTCAACGGTGGTCTCCTGCTTGACGGCGACGATTCCGCCGCCGCTCAGGGAGCCGCTGCCGCCGCCGCCGCCGCCACCGCCGCCGCCGCCACCGCCGCCACCGCCTCCGCCCCCGGCAGCCCCACCAGCGGCCGTGGCGGAACCGCCACCACCGCCGCTGCCGCCGGTACCACTACCATTACCGCTACCAGTACCGCCACCACCATTACCACCACCACCACCACTACCGCCGCCGCTGCCTCCGCCGCCGCCGGTACCGCCACCCCCTGCGCCGCTCCCGGTCGTCGAGGCGGACAGAGACTTCCCTGATGGTGCCGAAAAATCAAAGTTCACGGAGGGTTTGAATCGGTCTCCAGGATTGTAAATCAAATAAATCTAAATCATTCAGTTCTGAGTCCTACATGCAGGACTTATATCTTATGCATGAACAAATCAGAACGTGTGCCACGTGTGTGCATATGCGTTGTGTATATGTACATTTTTTACTTTCCTTTTGAGTATAAAAGTATAATGTAAAGAAATAGTTTTTTCTTCTTTTTATTAAAATATACATATAGAATGTATGATGGTACATATGTATATATATAATATATATACTTATACAATCTTTCCAGAAAGATGTCTTCTAACAATAATATATTTCTTTCAATGAAGAGAAAATATGAAAGGAATAATCATTCTCAAAGAAAAAAAATGCGTCAAATCTTTTTTAAGGGCTGTTTAATTGAAAAATTTTGCTCATTTAAGTTTCGACAGTTTCAATATTAAATAGTTTACTGTTATATTTTGTTTAAATAATCACTAAAGAAAAGTTACTTGAATGTAACTGAAAACTTCTCTGTTAATAGTAACAGTAAAGTTGGTGAGTTTCTTTGTACACAAGCGAACTATATGTACAATTGAATGAAATTGAAACTATTATTAAAGCATCTATAAAGATTCACATAAAGCTTCGGTTGAAACTTGAAGAAACGAGTTTCTCAATAAATGAAAAGATAAATTTATTATAGCATATGACATTGACAGATCTTTGTGAAATAAAGAACGTGGCATGACGTTTAATATTTTCTCTCAGCAACACTAAATGTATTCTATTCTATACGACAATTCTAAAAGTCGAAATAATTTTCATTATGTTACACAAATAGTCGTTGGGAAAATTTTGCACTCATATTTGATATCAAACTTTTTAACTAAATCGTTAAGTGGGTAAAAACACTTATTATTTGATATTATGCTGTTAACTCACGCATACATAAAACTAAAATCTCGTAAACAATAAACAAGTTTTTTAAGTAATCACTTTTTAAAAATTGTTTTTTAATTAACTTTTTATACTTTCGGTATACACTTTCTATGAATTTTCACGAATTTTTATGATTTTTATGAAATTAGAAAAATAAAACTTTTCTTTGAAAAACTCGTAGAGATAGTCTTTTCAAAATTGCAGTAATTTTTTTCAGGAAATGTGTGTACTTGTGTGTGTATGTGTGTGTTCAGCCCGATGGTGAATAATAAACATCATCCTCGGTGCATCATTGATCTACTTCGCTTCTGGAGTCCATTAATTACGTGAGTATTTTAGGGGGGTCAGCGAAATCTCTACATGTGCTCATATTGGGGAGGGAGGTATCAGAGGGCGTCTCGCGTAAGTTTTCGCTAGAGTCCCTAGCGGAAGTCTGGCCAAGCTAGTGTAGTCCGATATATGTGTTTTTGTTCATATATTGAACGTATTCAAAAACTCACGTGAAATCCGGAGGAGGGGGGGGGAGGGGGGGGGGGTCCGAAATACCAAAAATAACACTCACGTAATTAATGGACGGTCTCCTACGCAAAGTTTCGTCATCATGTATTGAATCGAAGTCATCCTGATTAATCTCAATAAAACTAGCAAGCTTTGATTAAACTCAATTCGAAAATGAATAATCGATTTTGCGGCCGGAAATACGAGATAGAATTTTTAGCACATAAGTATGTATTACATGTGTACGTTAATAAATTATATTTCAATTATATGTCATAAATATATAATAAGATATTAGAAGAATAAATGATGAATATAAATTAATCGTAAAAGTTTTCACTATAATATATGGGTGCTTTCCATTTAGCGACACAAGCCGACGCAAGTATCGTTTTGTCTTTGTTACTCACTAAATGCTAAAAAGGATAGAATGACATTTGTGTCAACCTGTGTCACTAAATGGAAAGCACCCTATGTACATAAAATACATACTTATTGTTAGTTAAAGTTATTTTTACAATATCTCATAATACGTAACTCTTTTTATATCTTCATGAATTGATTTACAAAGAATTGATTTCGATTAAACCGAGTTGTTCTTAAAATCAAACACTATAAAGAATCTTCAAATTACTATGGCATGTGCAAATAAATTAAAAAGATTATTTTCGTGTAAAATTTTCTTGAAACCAACGGCAATACTTATGGCGTAGAAGTGAATAATATCGAAAGGTATACATTTTTCAAAATGAATATTTTTTTCCAATTAATAATTATGAGATTCAGTTTAGGTAAAAAATGTATATATGTATATTTGAGTGTAAATGTATATAAATATAAATTATAACTAAAATTACGAAGAAAATATTTGTGCCGATATTGCAAAAACGAATATCGCGCAACGGAACACGAAGGATATTTGCGGTTTTGCCTGTGAAATCGTTATCGATGGCAAGGACGTGAGATGGAAGGAACTCTGGAAGGTGACATTAAAGACGCGAACGCAATTAACTCTGGGTTAATGACAGTGCTCCGGAATGCATTTAGCGTGCTGGTTACGAAGTGAGAACTTAACAGTTGCGCTTACGAGATTACAATTCTAATTTAGCGGGTACTTATTAAAACGCTTTCTTATGTAATGCGCACCTTCCTATTCGTACCAATAATTTTATCCTTTGCATAATCCAATTTTATTCATTGCATCGAGATAGATCTATACTGATGAAAAACATTTACGTGGAAAAACATAAAAGAATTATGTTAATATTTCACGAAAGCTATCGTTGATTATTCTATTACTCCATTATAACCATTTCTACCATTTTACGTCAGATAAAATTTTTATGTCTCTCTAAAGTGAATTGCAAAAGATTATATACATGTCAAGAAATAGAGGATAAATTAAATTTACATTTACACATGTGAACTTTTTAATAAAATTTACGAACTTTTAATTTACAATTTATTTAAATATATTTTTGTTTACCAAAAAGAACTCTTCATTCGCACAAAACATAAAAAACTGGATTATGCAGCGCATTTCAGAACTATCGTCGCTCATTTCTTCAAGAGTTCTTTGAGAAACTTGGAATACATTTTTTCTTAATGGAAATTTGATTGGACATTTGTTTCCTCATAACTTCATAACTTTCCTCATTAAATATCTTAGTAACTAAGCTCCAATTTAAGATTTTCCCAAAGTAAAGTTTAGTTGAAATCAACTAAAGAACAAATTATCGTAATTATTTGTAAAATTTGTGAAATACAATAAATTTTTTAAATCTCTAATATATATTTTGCTATTTATATAGCTGTAGAAAAATGATAATAATTTTGAGAAATTATTCACATATTTATGTATTACTGTATACGAATTTTCTTTCTCATTATTTATATCATCTCTTGACAATAAAGAAAAATTAATTTCAGTTTTATTATGTGTGGGGTTCTGCTTTCGATATTATAACTAAATATCTCTCATCACGAATATCATTATCTCGTTCGATGACGCGCGCTTACGGATCGCGTCGGGATTAACGGGTCCATGGGTATTAGGAATTGCGAATTGAAGCACTACTTACCGGTAGTGACCACACTGGGAAGCACCCCGGTCGCGGTGACGGCCGAGGGTGTGTCGGGCGCGACGGTGTCCGCGACCTGCGTCTGCGTCGGTCTGGGATCGTAGGTCGTCGTGCTGTCGACGTAGTCGGCGCTAAGCTCATAATTCGTCATCGCTTGATGATTGTAATTCGTGTAACTGCCGGTGCCGGGGCCTGACGACGTGTATTCGCTACCGCCGTACGTGTACCTGCCGAGGACAAACGGATAGGTCCGCGTGAGTCGTGGCCCGTTCACGAGAAGCGCAATAATTAATCGGAAGTAAGGAAAAAGAAATCTTGTTCTTTCACAGCGCTCACATTTGACTTCACATTGCGACAACGATATAGCACATTAAGCTGACGTGCTTTTTACAGTCACAGACTTTCTATATAAGTAGAATACTACGAATTTTCTATTTAATAAAACCCAGGAGTGTTCAATTCTATTCAATGAAATATTATAAGCTCCATTGATGACATTTCTCTATTTCAATATAAATTTCTAGCAGTTTACACGTCATTATAAAGTTATGTTGATACGACAGTACTACAAATTCTTTACCTATTTAATAAAAAAGCAGCGTTTCTCGCAAACGAAACATATAACAAGCTCAATTAAATGGCGTCCCTCTATTTCAATATAAATTTCTAGCAGCTTACCCGCCATTATAGGGATGATGTTGATCCGAACTGCTCGGCGTCTGATGCTCGAACACGCTGCTGTCCGGCGCCGTCTCCGAGGCCGCCCTCATTTGCGCCCTGTGGAATCTGACCTCATCTTCGACCTTCTCCCGTTGTTTCTTCGACATGCGCCCAAATTTAACGGCTATAAATAAAACCAGGAATTTCGAGATTATATCAGATTACAAATATTAGAAATTATAAATATTAGATTAGATTACAAAGATTACAAATTACAAATATTAGATTAATATTAAAAATATCAGTCGTTTATTCAAATAATATAATTCGATAATATAGTCGTGTTTAGAATTGAAACAGTGAGTAGTAAGAAAACATTTTTTCAAAATTTTGAAAATTTTTGCGCTTTGAAAATTTTTCTATCGCCTCACATCTCTATACCTATATTGAATAGAAACAAGGCAAAATTGTTTGCCTCAACTGAAATGACAATAAAATCGAATATGTTTTTTTTATTTGCCCCTTCACGTCGACTAACTTAAATTACATTGCGAGATAGATAGAGGGAGTGCAGCATAAAAAAATATATGAGTCCTATAAATTTCAGAACTCTAAGAATTCCGCAAAATAAACTACGGTTTTAATTCTTTAATGCACTTTATAGAGCGTTATGCGCATGAATTTCTTACAACAACCTTGTAAATATCGATTCTATCTTACATTTATTATACAAAGTTATACGGGCGACATACAAATTTTATTCTGATTTCTAGCACAGCTTTCAGATAAGGTAAAAGTATGTATAATCGAATAGTGCCAAACGCTAGTCTTCGATCGTCTCCCTCCATCTGTCTCACTCACTCATTCTCTCTCTCTCTCTCTCTCTCTCTCTCTCTCTCTCTTTCTTTTCCTTTTCTTCTTTCTGTCTCCCTCTCTCCGTCTTTTTCTTTTCATTTTTGCGAACTCATTATCGACAATTACGAACAATTATAGAGATCAGATCAAACGCGACTATCGCCGCGACGGTCGATTCGTTGTGAGGCGATAAAATCTAACGGGTATTCCGTGGATCGATCGAGATCAAGTCGCACGCGATTCTCCTCCCACCCAGCGGCCGCTCAGTCGACCGGTCGGGTCCCTTCCTCACCGCGAAGAAGGCTCGGCGAGGAACGCGGAAGAGCCTCGCCGCGTCCTCCTCGTCTTCTTCGGCGACGCTATCATCGTCTGGTCGCGACGCACCCACCCGATGACGTCACACGCATGAACTATAGCTCAGGCAAACGCGTGTATATTCTCTGTCCCGAAAGCGTAACGCGTTATTCAGAGTATCTGCAACTTCACGCATATATTTCGCGTCGTCGACTTTTTGGTCATTTCAGAGAGAATTGAATTTTTCCTTAATAAGAATCATGGAATCATTTTTTGAAGCAGTAAAAAAATTAGATTTGTCATAAATTAATTAAATTCAAGAATTCTATGTATATTTTTTTATTCTTCTTAATTTTAAATTTAGACGATTTTATATTGAATGCTTTACTATCGGAATATAAATATTGGAATTAACATTAATATAAAAGGTTATTAAAATAAAAAATATTACAAATAAAATAATACGTCCCCTCCTCTCTCCCTTTTTCTTTCTTTATAAATATTTACCTTAAAAATTAATTAAAATATTAATTGAAAAATTTTACAATATGGAGTGAATTTATACGTGAATTATACTATTGCTTAATCGACGATTATCGGGAATCGAATCGTGTTTCATGCATTCCCTACATATTCTGATGGGAGCAATTTTAATCTCAATTTTCAAGGACTGACCTTTTTCAGTAGCAATTTATAGTGCTGACATTTTACATTTTTGCGCGTATTTAGAATTGGAAGTGTTATCATTGTAAATTTTGAAAAGTTTATTGCTTTCGATTATTGTAGGCATTTAGTTTTTGAGTTGGAAATTAAATTCAAAATCATTGAACAAATCAAAAGTTTAATTAACACCAAAAAATTTTCCATATTCCTTAGCTTACCTTTCATCGTAAATTTAACAAATATGAAGAAGATCAAACTTTATGTAAATTAAAAAATGTAAATTTTTAAATTATAGTTTTATATAGTTATAATTAAAAAATTTATTTTTAAATTTAGACAATTTTTTATTGTGCTTTTTTCCAGCGTGTGCAAGTTTATTTGATGATTTGATTAAAACATAAAATCATAAATTCTATTAACTTATCTGATAAAAAAAATTATTTTATTCAAAATACGTTCTTGAATCAAAAGCAAAGCGTTCATTTAAATTCTCTTTTCTCGCTAATCTAATCAGATTAAAAAAGTTTTTCGGTCATTTTGCCTGCGTTATCAGTGCATTCTAGATTTAGCCTGTCGTTACACGCGTGTAATCACGCGCGTGTGTCTCACGAGGGTGGTCGAGGACTCGAATGACCGGGGGGCGGGGGGCGGGGCAGGGCGGGAGCGAGGGGTTGATAAGAGGGATAGCGATGTCAGCGGCTAACCGAACGGCTATCGCGCGGAGGCACGGTGGCAAGGAGAAGAGGGAGGAAGCGGCGGGTGATCGACCGAACGCGGATAAAGCATGAACGAGAGAACGAGACGGAGAGAAAAGGAAGGAGACAGAGACGGAGATGGCAACAGGAAGAGTATGCACCAACCGGTAGCTTACGATGCACTTTCTGGCATTCTGTGTACGCGCGCGCGCTCATATGTCGAGTAGAAACGATGTATTTGCAGCTTATCGCGCCGGAGGGTAAATAAAGCGATACTGATTCTGAAATGCGCGCCGAGACGGAACCCGTTACTGAATCATATAGTTTAATCCCTTCGAGTCCGAGTCCTTGTTTATTAAAAGGACACTCTGTGTGATGTCACCAAGCGTTTTTCAGCATCATCGTAAGTAACGATTGAAACTGGTATAATGTAAGTAAATTTCGCATGCCTATGAATGCAATACGCGTTTGTGATGATGAAAGTAATAAAATATATATGTATATCTAGTAAATATTGATATATTTGAATTAATTATTCGATTAATTAAACCGTATTTTATTAATTATCATCAATATAAATTTACAGAGTATGAATGCTATAAATACTTTAAGAATTTATTTTAATTGCACGTAGTATCTTCTATTAAGAGTAAAAGTCAAAATTAAAAATTCTAATTTAATATTTTGTAATTTTTTCAAAACGCAAAAAAAATTTAGCGGTAGACTTAATTTCAAGTATTAATTCATTTCAAACATTGAAAGCATTGAAAATATGTGTTACTATAACAGTATAATAAATATCATTTTTCCTCGAATTCAATAGATCCATATACATTCTTTTGCGTGAAAAATCCTATTAAATTGTAATAAATTTGCAATTGTTATAGGTGATTCTATGCTGAATGAAGCGTGACGTTGCAATTAGTATCCTCATCGCAATGCACGACTTTAAAATTAGACAATAATTACATTTAATCAATTATCTATCCATTATATCACCTCATATGACGAATAATTTTAACGAACTAGAGTTGAATGTGAATCGTGCGTGTTATTTGTCCGTAAACGCAGATAAAAAAACCGCGCCTGATAATTGGCCACCGAAAAGCCGGAAATTGTGGTTGTGTAGTCCGAATATCGCGGCTGAATATCATCTGATCCGTGTGAAATAGCAAGACGTTCAACGTTGTTGACGTTCACTCGATATTGCGCATTTATTCATTATAAAGACAAAATAGTAAAATACGTAATTAAATTAATAGAATGAATGGAATATATGTAATATAAATTATTGTATAATTACATATAAAATATTATAAATGGTATATATTACAGAATTAACCTATGATTAAAAAGAATGAATAAAAAAATGTAAAAAAATATATAATTTTCAATCAAATAAATATCAATTTTTTGAATTATAATTATAGAACAATTCACTATTAGATATTACAGAATACTTTACAAAAAATGCAAAAAAAGGATATAAAATTTATATAATTTTTTATGTAAATAAACATCAACTTATTAAATACAATATATAAATTAAAAATTATTTTAAACACAAATTATTTCAACCATTTTTATTAATAAGGTTTGGTTTTTTAACACATTTATTTTAATTTTATTACATTTCATATCATTACATTTTATTTTAATTTTCCAAAAATGAATATTTCTAATTGCCAAGACATCATTAAAATTTAAATTAAATTAAATTAACTGTTCATTAAATTTCAAAATCTGAAATTTATAATAAAAATTTAACTATCATCATTTCGATTAAAATAAAGACTTTTTAAAATCAATTATAATTAAATGTTATACACGTATTATTTATAAGAGTCATAATTTAATTATTTTTTATTAATAATTTTATGTGTAATGTCAAACGTAATGTGTGACATTTCCAAGATCTTTGATAGTTCAATGCTCGATTTAGATTCGCGGAAGTAACAATCACAGGGCAACAAAAATAGCCGGCGCATATAAAATTTATGCCGCACCTCTGCGAGTCAGATCGGGTTTATTTATCGAGCGATGTAGAGAAGCTCAGCGACGCGAGATTGAAGAACGAAATAAATTTGCTCGATTAGTGGAACTATATATTTTATTTCACAATGTATAAAAAAAAAGACAAAGTAACAGTGCTTTCGAAAGTATCTAGAAATAAATTTCTCATGCAAAGATTTTAAATTACAAATTTTTAGCGTTAATTACATTATTAAAAAATTTAATTAGTGTTACCTATTATTGTTGTACGGAAATACGTTCCATATTAATTATAGAATAACATTTATTAAATTAATTACCCTTTTACAGCTTAATCTTAAATTTTAAACATTCTGACGTATATGTACGTAATTAGGACCAATTTTATCAACCAATTAATATCTATAATACAATGAGAAATAAAACCCGGCTTTTGATTATACATGTATATCTCTTTTAGAACACTGTATGTATCTATCGCGATAATCACACGTCATGTCGGCGTATTACTGTATTCGTGTATATTGATAAGAATCCGGTTCATCGTCTTCTCGGTGCATGTTCACGCGTGTAACCGATGCATCTTGGATGCATCTCCATGAGACATTTATTCAGTAGATACGTCATTACGCAATGTATGATGTTACCAGTTTGTTCAACAATTAAAGTCAGTTCATCAACTTATTATAAAATTTCAGTTTCAGCTCTAGTTTGCTATTATTTATTGTAAATAACTATATTATATAAATAATAATAACCACTTATAAAAAAAGTCATAAATTCAATATACAAAATAATACAATATAATTATACAATTATATATGCAATTTTTAAAATGTTTATACTTTAATAGCTAGCCTTAAATTCTTTTCTTTAGAATTTTCTAAAAATCTTAAAATAAATTTATTCACCTGCCATTATATTACTATTTTGATTTTATTCAGTTCTCTTTATCTTTATTAGAACAGGCAGATTAATGCTAAGCAGATTAATACTAGTTTAAGTGTTAAAAGTTTATTGTAAATAATTTATTTTTCGGTGAGAAATGTAATTAACATTATGCCATATTTTACTTTTAAAATGAAACTCGATTAGAAATAATTTTATATAATTGTTTCCGAAATAAACCGTTCAAATAATGTGACAATATAAATTTCGTGCTAATTTCAATTTCTGTTTTATATTCTTATTCAATGATTATTGTGAAAAGTGGCAATTTTTAGTTACAGAAAATTTAGATAATCTCACGTAAATAAAAAATGTACTGTCCTGTATAGAAAAAAAATAGAAATATATAATTATATTTTTATATACAAAAATATCATAACTATTACGAGTTATGCGTGTCATTCTTATTGATGCTTAAATTTTAAAAGTTTCTTAGTGATAAAAGAACCAAGGATCTGGGACTACCACCGATCATCATATTTCCGACCGGCTTTCGTCCCGATAGGCTTTATCCGTCCACCCACGAGGTATCTTCCGTCTCTCGTTTCGTCTTGACGGCCTTGTCTATTAATATCGTAGCCGTCTTCGAGAATAGGCTTCGGACAGCGACGGTTTAACGCACCGAAGACAGTTCGTGCCTCGCTCCGATAAAGTGCAGCGATGACTCGCCGCAGGAGGAGGAGAGACGGATTCTGATAAGGGGTCGTGCACCCCGGGTTGGCACGCGTAGCGTCTTGCTGCAATCGGTATGCGTATAGCTGCCTTCGTCATCCGCTGACGTTTCTTCAATTTTTTGCGCGAAACAGTCGATTTCGCATCACTTAATGCACGGTACGTTACGCAATTCATTACTAAGAATTAATAACTGCCTCATACACTCATTATTTAATTTGTCGTCAATTTAAAGGCTACAAGATAATTCAATATTATTATTTACATAATTTCCAAATTAGTAATTTCTAGATTTAGTTATTAGATTTTTTTGAAAAAAGAATTCCATACGTTTAGTCAGGTTGTTTTTTAGTTAAAATGTAAAAAAAAATCCAAATGTAGTACTTTTCTGTCAAATAAAAAATAATCGCATCAGATAAATATCATTTTAGGAATTTTACACTTTTCTCCGTCATCATTCGTTTATATTGTATTATTATCTGCGTCGAGTAAATATCGGGCATCGGTGCTGTTCGAGCATGTCGCAACATTGCGTCCCCGCGCGATAGTTCTTCGAACAAAGAAGCTTTTTAAAGAGTCCGTGTGACGCTGAGCTATCCGCTATTCCGCGCTGATCTCATAGAACTATATCGCGTAAAACTTGTTTGAGATAGACCGTTCGAATGTGAAAATTGTATAAGATACCGCGTGTTTAATACACATATACTTTAACACGACATTGTAAATCGTTTTAAGATTTCATTAAATTTCTCGACTATTAAGCTAAAATGTTACGCGTTAAACTTTTTATATACTTATGTATTAATTTTCTTATAAAGAGATTAATAATCCTAAAATATTCATAACTTTGTCATGTATATACATATATTTAACCGTGCTATGGCATTTACAGTGCATACAGTGGCGGATACAAGGGGGGGCGAAGGGAGCGATCGTCCCCTTTCCAGAACTCTCCAAACAAATTTCGTATATTGGAAAAAGTCGATTTTAAATAAATTGACGAAAAAAAAAATTATCAGAGATTATTCGCGACTAAATAATGTTCACTCAATTTATTATAAATTTGATTAATACGTTTATATTTTTAACTTATGTGTTCGATAAAAACGTTTCAATCAATAGTTAAAAATAACATTAACAACAATAATAATTAAATATGTATATTTCGTCATATCGCCCCCCCCCCCCCCAGACAACTCTCTAGATCCGCCACTAAGTGCCATAAGAATAATTTTTGTATATTATAAAATTCGAGAATGACATGATGCTAGATGTGCGAATCTTATACTTTTCTCACAAGAGAATAATGTGTGAGACGCGACGATATAAAGCTCCACGCATGTTCCCGCTTTAAGAATCCCACCGAGTGACAAGAGCGATTCGTCTTTCTGAAAGAAGGTGACGAAAGGTTGGAGCAGTCGAAAGCACTCACCATCTCTTGACATGCCGAGGCGTAGGCACTTTTGCAACCGACAGTACTGGCACCGGTTTCTGTTTACACGGTCGACCACACAATTCTTGTTCCGCGGACATTGATAGTTGACGACCGACGACTGCGACCGCCTGAAGAAGCCCTTGCAGCCCTCGCAGGTGATCACGCCGTAATGCACGCCGCTGCTCTTGTCCCCGCATACCTTGCACGGGATTATCTCGATCTGGGCTGTAACCATAAAAGAAACGAACACCTCAATTACGAGCTCCTATCACGTTGTCTTGCGAAATCTTCCCTTGCTTTGCGAAAAAGCTTTCACTTTTATTTCCAGTACTTCATCAAGCTCATTCGTATACCTACATGTATACCTAGGAGTGCAGTACTACCGACAAGTTTACTTCCTTCTCTCCGCATCTCTGTTATTACATCTCAAATTTCTTCGCTTCGAAGATTTCCATACAATTGCTACGAAACTCAATTCCCTATTTACCAATATATTATGATTCCTTCATTAAAAACACACTTTTCTGTATCCATAACATAAAAAATAAATAATATAACGGAATTCTCTCTCTTAAAATGTATAATATTCTATAACAGAAAACTTAAATTATATGTAGTTCTAAAATTAAAATCAATAATACAATTGCGATAAATATAATACACATTTTATGCCGCGTAATTCTATTCCTTACATCAAGCGATATCCATCGTATTAATGGAGTTAAATTATAAGTAATCGAAATTGTACATCAATAAGTTTTAATCTATTTACAACCCCCGATTGCGTCACCTATATATTCCATTTATTTAATGGCTCTACCTCGAATCGAATTGGCCTGCAGTCTACGATCGTCGAGGATCGCGCTGCCGGCGCCGGAGGGCGACTGCGCGGATCTCTCTCTCGATCTCGATCTTTCCGTCGGCTGAGGACTCGTACTATCCGCACCCCACGTAGGCCCGCCAAATCCTGACAGACTTCCCTCCATTTACGGGTCTCTCTTGCTGGTCTCATTTACGATCTATCGCGGGGACAATACCGGCTCGATCCTGAAGATTCACGCGCGTGATTGCGATCAAAATCGGTCGTCCGTGGAATGGACGTCCCTAATTAGTCTTTAATTAAGTCTTTGTCTTAAATGCACACCATTTATTTTCACGATATGCTTTATGCGGGGTATTGCACGAAAGTACGTAGCCACTTCCGAAAGCATTCGTTGAATTGTTCTTGGATTATAAGTATAGTAGTAATTAGAAAGATGAAAAATTAATATAAAGCAATGTGTGTTAAAATGTTTTAAAGATTAAATTCGTTAATGAATTTTTTGATTTTAAATCGTATTCATAGCTGAATTAGCCCAAATTATTTTCTCATATATTTTTTTGAATAAAAACATTATTATGAAAAAAAAGTAATTTGATGAATTTTAAATTATATAGAAGAAGAAATTTAAAGAAAACTTCATTAAATTTTATTTTGACAAAAATTAAATTTTTTAACAAAGCAATAGTCTCAAAATCTGTTGTTTATTTCTTTATCTATTGGAGCTTGAATTAAATTCCTCGTTCTCTTATCGACGTTAACAAAGATAATGGCATTCAAACGCATAACACGGTGCTATCACAATTTAATTCGATTTCTAGTAAGCACTGGTATGAACTGCACGACATATATCTATATATTAAATTTACAGACTAGAAACATCGGGCTCTTTTTTTAGACCTAGCAATTAATTGAAAATTTTTATTAAGTTTTTATTTTTAATTTATTAAGGAATAAATTGCGTAAATAAAATTATCCTGTATATTATAAATAAAAAGCGCATGTCACTAACGCATTAAAAAAAAGAGATCTAGAAGAACTTTTCACTCGTAATGACACAATTATTCTTTCAACTTTCCGAAAAATTGTGTATTAATTATTTCGAAAAGTCGTCAAAAAGTGTGGAATCTCAATGGTATGCGGCTTAGCAACCAGAAAAGAGTTCGATGCAAAAAAAAGCAGCGTCGTGTAGCGAAAAAAGGGTGGGCGGGGTGGCAGGGAGATGTGATTATTCGCACGTGCGCGTGTGCGTGCACGGAAACAAGGATTCGGTGCGCGGCGGCCGGTCTCCTGTCTGGATATATCGCCCGAGCGCGCTTCTCCCGTCCGGCAACTCTAGCGCCACGAGCAGAAACGTCGAGGCGCTTGCACCATACATACGCGGCCGAACATTACATAACCGAGAACGATGAACCCAGAGTACAGTCACCCGGCACGCTCGCATCTTCGACGTGCGTCATGCGGAGAGCGCAGCATGCATCGGCAACGGCGGACAGGCGCTATACCCGGAACTCCCGAAATCGAAACGGTCGCCTTCCTCTTACGCGACGTCGATGTATTGTAATGCAATTTATGATGCACTTCTTGGTTATCGATATATGTATAATCAATAATCACTGGTTGTACTATAGAGTTGAAAAAAAAAACGTATGAGATTATGAGAATAATTTTTAATGATTATTGTCTAATAAAATGCCTAATAATCAATGCCTAATAAAATAGAGTTTTATCACCTAAAATAATTGTTAATAATTGTAAATAATAATGTAATTATTATCTACAACTTTTCGATAAGAATTTTTTTATTGTTTTAGAAGGAATTTTTAAAATTATTTTGTATTATCTGGATTCATTTAATTTGCTTCGTTAATCTCTTTTTTTTACATCGATCTTATAGAAAGGTTTCTATTGCAATTTTGTATGAAAATTTTGGCTTGTATCGTGCATTTTTGTTCAATTTATCTTTAATTGTTGCAGTGATTTCTATTAGCATTTAATGCAACGTGATCATATAGAAATTTTAAAATTAACATATATAATATGTAAGACTCTCCAATTTAAAACAACTTCAAGTATAATAATTGGGCATCAAGAGTAAAAAAAAACGCGGTACTCGGTGCGTAAAATAATTTTATCTTCTTGTATAGTTATACCTTCATACAATATTTTATTACGTACGTTTCGGCCTCCTTCAGTCTTTCTTCAGCGTTACAATATCAATCTCGATAGTTATCAATCTCGACAGTTATCAATCTCAACATCAACATCAATATCGATAATTAATTCCGCTAATGGACGTCAATAGAAATTTTATATATACACACACATATATATATATATATATCTATATAATATTGTTTATGTATTATCATCTATTGCTATTCAATTTTCTTCATTTTAATTTTTTCATTACGATTGCTTGATATGCCCATAATAAGCTTTATTAAATCCAAATTTCTTAAATAACATTTTTTTATAAGTTATAGCACATATCTCTTCCATTGTTGAAATTGTTGCAATATAACTTTAATGGAATGAGGAGATGTTTTGGCAAATACCTAAAGTAGAATATATTTTTCAAGTAACATTTTGAACAAATCACAATCATTATGTAAACGTAGCTTCTGAAATCTAACCGAATCACTGTGTAAAATTACATGGCGTGATAATTAATCTAGGGAGAAGCAAATGAAAGCTCGACGATAAAATCTCTAGGAGACGCAGAAGTAAGAATTTGTGCACGTTTACTCGACAACATTGATCGACGTAATATGAAGTACAAGCAGCTTCGCGTTCCATTACGCGCATAGAAATTGTAAATGATTTAAATATAAACTTCCCATCGTGAGGTGAAATCTTATTTCCTTCAGGATTTCGGCTGCACAATCTGGACGAGCGACTTTATTGTCCACCGTGTAGTCGCGCGACACGAATAGCGCGTAAAATCGCGGCAGCCCGCGCAAGCGCGACGGAAACTGAGTATATGGGATCACGCGTGTACGCGTGACACGCGCTCTTCCTCGCGATTTTCCACCTGGAGACTTTCCAGCCGGGGCAACTCGATCTCGCACTAAGCGTTTCCGTTTCACACGTAAACGCGTGCGCACAGTGCCGACGTGCGACCACAGGCACGAATCCGCGAAGGCGATTTTCGCGGGACGAGCAAAACGGCGGACGATAAGTGCGCGCGTTGACGGCGAGCGAGAGAAGATGGCATCGAGGTCTTTTGCGAAATTGATTCTCGTCGATAAGACGTACGTTCACTCGGACGAACGCGACGGACTGCCGTTCAACGTTCGCGCAGCGCGTCCAGGCGGAGAGACGACGAGGAAATCCCGGAGGGTGTCACGGAGAAACTGGCGCAATGATGAATAGAGACAGACGGAATGAGAAAAAACGGGAGCAGGAAGCAAAGGGGAAAGCGGACGAAGAAAGCGAGAAAAGGTCCGTCGTAATGAATACGCGTCGCACAGTTGGCGTGGGAACACTCGCGGCCACACTCCTCGGATTTCTTTGGTCGATTGAGAATTTCGGGAGGCATCCGTAGCGTATATGACCGCGAGAGAGCAGAGAGCGAACATACACGCGGCGCGACTGCGTTCTCTCTCTCTCTCTCTCTCTCTCTCTCGCTTTCTTTCTTTCTCACTTTTCTCTTTCTCTCGCGAGGAGAACACCGACCTCATCGCCACGCGCGCGGCCGGAAAAACTCGCGGAAAGTCGACGACTGGCGATACGAATATTTTGGGGGTTTTGACGAGCCAAGGCGGCGGCAACGTGTCGAGGAAGGAGAGAGAGAGAGAGAGAGAGAGGAGAGAGAGAGAGTGCGTGCACGCCCGCCCGCGCGCGCGCCACACAAATGAGAGAAAGATAGAGAAAATGTCAGTGAGAAGAACAGAGACAGAATGAGAGCCGAAGGAAGGAGAGAAAGGAGACAACGGCAGAGAGAGAGAGAGGGAGGAACGGAGGGAGTGAGATAGAATGAGGTGTTTTCGAGGACCGGCGTTAGCGGGCTGGCATCTCACAATATGTCAGAACTCCCCGCGCCCCCCCCTTCATCGCGCGACGATGCGGCGGGTCACTGAACTGCGCGCCTCCGCTGATGATGGCCGAGTGCCTCACCCTTTGCTCCCTCCGCCCCTCTTCCCGCACCGTCGGCGCTGCGGCCCCCACCGCCCCCACGCGTCGCGGAAATTCGCGATTGTCGGCGAATGTTGCCGGCGACGGCCGATCGTCATCGGAAACGACCGAGCGCCGCGCCGGCTGGATCACGAGCGCGTAGCGCGCGCTTTCCGATCTCGACTCGTGCGACGCGTTTGCTTTATTAGTGCGCCTTGTTAAGGTCACTGGCGTGCTACCTAAATGCATGCGCGTATCGTGTTTCCTACATAGGAAGCGGCGGCTCGCG